GAAACATCCCCTATCACTCAATTGTAAATGTCATAAAAAATTTGATTAACTACCTTTTGATTTATCGTCCATTGCTGCCAATCAACTTAACTACTTATTTTTTCATTTGTTTAAAGTAACGGTAATAAAAACTTGACACTTATTCGAAAAAAAAACTCAGTATCATTACTCGAACAATTTTTAAAATGCTATTGTTAAAACAATTTTTTAACTTGCAAAACTGAAGGCCATAATAATTTGACAACTTAGAAATTAATTGAAAAATGTATCTAATTATTACAAAATATACAAACATAAAAAAATTAATACAAAAAAAGCGCTACCTGTTCGTTCCTATACGGGTGTTGCTGTACGTCATCGTCATTTCTTCTCTCTGCAATATCTGTTTGCATATCCAAACGAAGCGAATCCTTATTAGCAATGAATCCATTAATATTACTAAAAATTAAAGACTCGATAATTTTTGCTTTGCGATGAAAAAAAACTCATCAGATTTTTAAAAATATCACGCTTCTCGCTAATGTAAAAGTAAAACTTAGCACCTCTAATTAAAAAAAAATTTTAATCGCTTAAAAAAACCTCTTTATTAAACTGACTGCTGACGGTGAGAACTTAATAATTCTGATCTCATCAACAGAAACATTAAAACAGTGAAAAACTTTCATATATGTATCTATAAAAAAATCTCTAAATCTGAAATTAGACAACTAACCGTAAAAGATCAAGTTTCAATTCAGTGTTACCATCAAGAATGACAATTGACCTGCTGTAACGCTGACCACCACCATGCATTGTTAGGGTAATACTATTCTTCGAGTGATATAAATGCGTATTAGTAAGTAACAGGATATCCCCACACTATGAAACATTTCGCTTTCAATTATTTCATATAAAAGAATAAAAAAGAAAAATATTTGTCAGAATTTCAATTTTCACAAAAAGTTGAACAATATTTTCAGCACAAAACTAATATAAGCATGGAGTTAATATTTGGTTATTATTTATAAACAAAGTTCTTTCACACAAGCTTATAAGCAAATGTTCGTAACCGTCTGACCAAAAACAAATCAAAAAAGCTTAGAATCCAAGCTAATCATTTGCAGTGAAAAATACGCCGGTCAATAATTTAAAATGAAATCATTTCACTGATATTTCAGTTTGATACCTTTACATTATTTCGAGCAAAATCAGCATGCTCTTCGTACAACACTATGTCACACCAATAATTTTCTGTTGCCATTTCCAATTCTTCATCTCGACATATCATTTCGTGAACAAAGTCAGCATTAAGCATAAATATTTTCCTTTAATCATTTTGATTATAATAATTTGAGTATATATATGTAATATGTAAAAGTACTGAATATTGAAGAATTTGCAGTGGAAAAATTCTATCTTCATAATTTGATGACATCCAACAAATAAATTCGGATGATTCATTACAACAAAAGATTAATGCTGTTAATTTTTTATGAAAAAATACCTTGGTGGTGAAGTGGTATCCCAACAACGCAATATCACGTTGTTTCGATCACCAACAAATAGAGCTATTGCCTAAAAATACAAACGTTAAAAGCCAAAATGTTTGCACCATTCCGCTTTGACGAGCTTATATTGCCGATGAGAAAAATCGGAAAGAATATTTCAATATTTTTATTCCTTCCTTTATCTTTTTTCACAGAAAATTTAAAAAAATGAATGAGAGATGTTTTCAAACAATAAAACTATTAGCAAAAATTACTTGTACGGTAATATCACTGTAACCACCAAGAACAAATTCATTCAAGCGATGAACATTTGCATTTTTAATTATTTGATGTATTTCCTCTTCGTTAATATATGATGCTTTTCTATTCATCGATAGTACTGATGTTGTAGCAACAGGCTGACCATCTGAAATTCTGGGGTCACCTGGAACTGTAAGGGGATCGTCTAATGCCATTGGTTCATCTCTCACGAATAACATGCGTAATGAATTTATCTGAAACAAAAGTATTTACTTCTCTATTTTTCTCTGCTGCTATTTTTAACTATAAATTATTTTGCTGGCACATTTTAAATATGTTTAAAATATTGTTCAAATTCATATTCTTACTTTCGTGCATCAGTTCGGAACGAAGTTTACAGCATTTTAAAATTATCAAACCAACCCTCTCCTTGTAATCTGATGCTACAGTAAATTTTGCTGATGACTGATATACAGGAGCAAAATCATCACTAAGTTGACCACCGAACAGAAGAACAGCAAAACCTGCTGTTTTAAGCTTCCCATAGACAAATAATTTTTCATCTGCCATTTTTTTGATCTGCATAAAAAGCTATAGAGATATCGAGCACCGATAAATGAATCAGCGATAAAATCTCTAATAAGAATTAGTTTATATGAAAAATGTCAGCATTCATTTAGTGCAACGCATCTGCCTAGTAATGGCGTAACTGCAAAGAAATTGACCCATTTTTCCGAAATAGTACAGGATAATGATGCCAATTATTTCAATCAAAAAATTTTAATTGAAACTAAAAACATAGAGTAAAGCGTCAAAATTTCACTATATTTGCCTTAAAAAATTAAAAAAGTATTAAAAATGAAAACAAAACGAAAATAATACAAGCCATAAATGAAAAGTTTTCAAAAATATGAAAAATTTGAAAAGATGGATAAATCATTGAAAAAAATACTTTTGCACGATGCATTCGAATAATTTGACCGCTTTGTATTTGATCCGAAAAACTTTCCAGTGAGTCACTATAAATGATACATGTTGTATCGTTATCCGAGCTACCATCACGTAATTCCAATTGTGTGATAACACAAGCTAAAAAATAAAAATTCTTAATTATTTCCTAAAAATAAAATTATTATAACTACGGCAAGTAATTAATCATAATTGTAATTACTATATTTTTTTATGTTTCAAAACAAACAGCGTAAGTATAAATAATCATACCATCTTCCAACACATCTGTCGGTCGTGAACGTATCACCAAATCGGCTACAAATGCATATATGTTAACCTATAATAATCAGTTTGCATTGCTCGATATATAATCTAAGTACAACCATAATCCATATATTCCCATATATTCATTTACAGGACGACCCGATACAAAATATATAAGATACGTTACCATATATATATATATATATACATAAAGAACTACATATTTTTCTCGACCGATGATAGATATTAAGCAAATTATACGCAATGATTTTGTTACCGATACTATTCTACTATGTATTATCTAAGTTCCTCCCTTCTACATAATCGTTGAAAGTTTATAAGTTATTGTCATGAATTTACCTTTAAATTTTCATCAGCTTTATGTGATAATTCATCCAGCTCTGCAAGCGTAATATATTGATATTCTTTCATGTTTTAAATGTCTAAAAACACATAAAACTCTTTATTTCTTATCTTTTCAGAAGAGAAAATCTTGTCGGGGAAAACTACACAGAAGACAATTTTCCCATACTATTCTGTTTGTTCTTCGTATGAAACTATCAAAACTACCACTCGAAATTCTCAATGTTTCATATGTGTAATGCATATTTAACTTCGTCTTAAACAAAAGTTATTTGTTTACAAAACTTTATTCGTCTTAAACCACCCAGAAGTTACTTGTTTACCTAACTCGAAAACTAATTTTTAAACTTCAAGCACTACTGGAAGAAATCTAGCAGCCACTGTGTTATACAAACAAACAGCTATAGTACCTAAACGAAGCTCAAGAATATTTAATTAGCTCAAGGATACTCAAGGATACTTAAAACTTAATTGTAAATAATAAACGCGAAAGGAATGATGAATTTGTCATAGATGTTATGCCCTCAAAATACATTTTTCAAATCTTTTCATTATCAATTTGATATCTACTGCTGATTGATAGCATTTTTCTATCTACCATAAACACTGATTCAGACCCGTCAATAATTTAACTATCATGCATAAGTGGAATAATATGCCTTCAAATATGGGTAAAATATAGAAAATATTTTCAAATTTATAAATTTCACTGAAAACACGCAGCAAATAAAACAATTTATTCACTGTTTCATAAAATCGAAATGCTGCTTAGAGAATCTATAATGAAAGTGATCGCTTAAATTTGCTAAATTTAAAATCTAGCAAATATATGATAAAAGTTCATGGAAAACCTTCAAGTCCAAATTTTTTGTATTTTTTAATTCTGGAAATCAGACATCCCAGACTTTTTAACATTAATAAATATAAAGAACATTTGCATAAACAGAAATATTCAAACCGTAAAAACTATCGTTATCATGCACAACAAGGAAGATGAATTTTTAATATTATCATACTAACATCACTAACACTTATAAATAACGTTCGAAGCAAACCACCATACATATTTCTCTTTATTCATATTGTTGCATTTGCTTAATTAATTGCAGATCTTCAGGAGAAGGCTTATAAATCCTTCCAATAATCACACGATCTTTAAATGTCTAAAAATTTCTAATTAAATAAGCAAAATTCGAAGCAATTCTAATAAGCAGCTGGTAGCGAATATGAAATGAAACAATAAAATAAAATATGAAAACTTAATAAAAAAATATGAAAACTTAAAATTTAATTAAATCGAAATTAAATAAATAAAACATATTTTACTCAAAGTTAATTCCAATATATAGTACATTTACGTATTTGCCTGATAAGGCTATTCCAACTTTAGCAAAGTTAGTGGATTAACAAAATAGTTTGATAGTATATAAGATCCCACATCATCAAATCCAATCATTGCAAGAGGAATCATGAATAATTATGAACTTAATATTCTTATAGTAGCTGAATAAAAAACAATTTTCAAATGAGCGGAAAATTAATTTTAAAGTGACCTTTGCCAGTAAGAGGTAATTTGCAAATATAAGTAGTACGAGCGTAACGATATGTTGCCAATCTGTCGTCAATACCAACATCCAAAACTGGATACCAATTAGAACAACTTGAAAAATAGTCATTGTGTTGATCAAAGTAACCGGATCACCACCAATTCGCTGAATATAAGAAGAAATAACAATCTTGACACACTTGAATTTCATCATAAAAAGCTTTATGATATCAGAATTGCTGAAGTGTTCCATTTCTAAGCTGATTGCTGCATAATCAAAAGTCGAAAAAGTTTTCATAATGTAAGTTTTTCACATACGGCTATAATAATGTATGTTAAAAATATAACAAAGTTTTTTCACGAAGAAATATTTCAGTATCTATTTGAAGCCAATTTTTTCTCTTGGTTTTAGATAATGAAGTAAACTTACATAAAAACGAGAATGATCCGAATTCCCGGGTTCAGCTGCGACACCTAACACACCAACAATAGTAACAGCTTTGTAGAACTGTCCACGATGACGAACAATCGAACCACCTGCATAAAGACCATCGCGTTCGGACCATCTGCAAGTCTTGAAAAGTAAATTGTCCAAACCAAAAAAAGATTGAACCCTTTAAATCTTACATTAAACCTTGATATCATTATAAAATGAATAAAAAAAGGAACAAACAGCTATACTTACAGTTGACGGCGAATAACTGGAAATTTGGAAATTTATAAAACAACGCATCATTCAATACAATTAACTTCCGATACTAATAATTCTACTCTTAAATTATTCTATATAATCTATTTGCTGATCAGGCTACTAGTTAATTTTCTCGGATTTATTCAATAGAACAAACAACCAACAAACTGCATACTTACTCTGCATATATATTATTTGTTGTGGTAGAATTCGTTGTTTGTGTTGAACTGCCATCACCTTCACCAGCAGCACTACCACTACTATTATAACTACTGTCATCATTACTATTACTACCACCATTACTACCAATTGTAGCTACCGATAACCGATCCAACCGCTCCCATTTTCCAAGATGTGCTGCACAACGATGTATCAAATCGCAGTATTGTAATGGCAACAAATATGTTGCGTAAAGTGAAAACGATGTTAAAAATACGATACAAAATAGTTCCATAATCCACAAAACATCAATGTACATCTGTTGTGGCAAGCCAGATGGCGATCGTTGCTGAAATCTTTTCAGTTTAAAATTCTTCAAATTTGCAATTTTCAGTTGGGAATCTCAGTAACTGTCAAGAAATAAAAGAATGAAAGATTGGACATATCAATTTCCAGTTATAATCATAAAATTTCTCACAAGTTACTTTTATATCAATATAATAAATGTAATCAGCCATTTATTTTTAAAAACATGTATTCAGTATCAAACTACCTTTGGAAAAAAATCAGAGCAGCCTATATCTATAATTTGAAAAACGAAAAATAAAGACTTGCAGGTGTAAATACACATGGAATAAAAATTGAAAGATATGCCGTTGTTAAACCGGAAAAGAAGCAATGCTTGATTCGTAAACCAAAATCTCTCATTAAAACCGAAACTTCTTCACGTATTTGTACTGAAAATCTTATAAGTCTAGTTATTTTTAACAAAAAACTAAGAAAGTTTAAACTTCAATAATTCATATAAAGAAAAAACCATTACATACATGGATT